CAAAAAAAAAAAAAAAAATCTACCACTTTTTCTATTTTACCTTTTTTGTTTTCATTCAGACAATATGATAGGAAGAAAGATGACAAAGTTTAAACTCGTGACTTTTAACTTTTAAGGTGTAACAACAGGGATAGTGGTCATTAGACCAATTGCTAACCTCTTTCAATTTTACATTCAACACTTCACCTTTGAGTTGCATTTTTGGATGGTGTTTTTGGAATCAATTTCAATAATCTAATTTTTTTATTCTAACCAATTTTTTATTTATTTTTACCAAGATAGTAGTCTTGAATTTTATCTGCCTTATCCCTGAATGCATCCGGGTACATTATGAATAAATTAAAATTTTATCAGTTCATTTATAAATTAAAGAAATTTTTATTTTATTTTGATAAAAATGAATCAAATTGAATTTTTTATTTATGGAGAATTAATTTGGGTGAAATCCTAGCTCAAAAGGAATGTTAATTATAAGTTTAACACATGTAAATAAAACGTTATTTTCGGGGAGCACAGCACAAGGAGAAGTGGCCTTTAGCTAAATGTGATATTTAGTTAATGAGTTCTACAAAAATAGCATGAATACAACAAAAATGATATAACACAAAACGTAATGAATCCAATATAATGAAATACAAAAATGACATGCAAGCTCAATCATTAGGCCAATAAAGTTTGGGCTTTAGGCCCACTTGAAAGAAGATTCTATAATTTATAAGTTTGTAATAATAATTAAATAAAGGATTTTAAGGAGGCTGATACTTTTTTTAGAAATTATAAGGCAAAAAGTACTATTTTTAAAAATATAGGTCAAAAAGTACACAACCCCTAACAAATTTCTAAAATACCCTCTTCAGTAGAATGAGAACAGATTCCTATATTTTTACTTCCACAATTGAAACTTAAGGGATCTCAACAGTTACACATAAATTCTTTTAATATCGTCGGAAACCCCATTCTTTTAAAAACTTCCATAAAACCTCCGTTTGGATATTCAAAACTTTTTGTTAATCGTTGTTGAAGAAAGGATCTTTTCAAAACTTCACTATCCAAATCTTCATCTTTGTAGCAGAAGGATGAGAGTGGTTATAAATTTTTTTAGTAACGAAAAACCAACTCAATCACATGATCTTGGATATGGATTGGAATTCGATTTATTAACATCTCTTGGTTACATTAAGGGAAAAAGTGGTTTCAGTAAAGAGTCTATCTGAGTGAGAACAATTTAGACAAGGGTTTGAATGAGAGTGGTTGTAGCAGAAGGATGAGAGTGGTTGAATTTTTTGAAAAAGGAGTTGATAACTCAAGAAAAATGTTGTTTCTCCCAACGTTTTTATTTTATTTACTTTTTTTTTCCTCAATTACCTTTCTACTTCTAGTGTTTGGTACTACATGCACACCAAGTGTTTGATCATTTGCCAAAAAAAAAAAACAAACCAAATAGGGTATATATATTGTGATATGCATCATGTCAATATGTGCAGTGTAAGATTGACTTATAATAATGTGACATTGGTTTCAGTGTAAATTTGGTTTATAACACTGTGACATTTTTTAATACCACTGTAATATTGTCTTATAGCACTGTGACATTATCATGCGAAGCAGCAAATTATCTTCTGAATCAGAATCATCATCTTGATTATTACGATCATCCCCATTTGAGTCATCATCATTGACATTTATCCTCACATGAACGTGATTAACATTAAGATATCATAATGATTTTTTTTTTAAAAAAATACATATGTACGACATTGTAACAATGTGAATTTGATTTGTAGTAGTGTGACATTTTTTAGTACCAGTGTGACATTGTCTTATAGCACTATAACATTATCGTGCAAGACAGTAAATCATCTTCGAAATCAGAATCATCATCTTGATTATTACGATTTATAAAAAATAAATAAATTATATAAATATGAAAAAGACATGAATGTTTGAATAAAAATGAAAAGTTTGAATAATTTAAGTTGAATGAAAGAGAAAGATATAATTTAAAATTCAAAAATAATATTCCATAAATTTAGGAAACTGAATCCCTAATATAAATGTCATATTTGTCTCCCACTAATAAAGGAAAAAGGCAATTTGTTAAGAGAAAAAATTACAACTCAGCAAAGTGTACCTCTTCACCTAACATTTACACATAAAGGTACTTATACATAAATGTTTTATATTGAGATACTTTTACACAAATAAGTATAATAAAGTGTATCTTTTCACAATTTTCCCAAAATATGAATCCATGAGAAATAGACCCCATAAAAAACATAGATTTAAGCCCAAATAAAAATTTTCAACTTTAGTAGAGTGAGCCTATTAATTTTGTCAATGAAATTAAAAGCCCTAAAATTCAAATTTTTGATAAAAGAAAAGAAAAGAAAAAAGATAACAATAAGACTAAAGTTACTTAAAAATAAATCTTAACTCCACAAAAAAAGTCAAGTTCAAACTTATCATCATAATTTTTCAAATATTCTCTCTCTCTCTCACCATCAAGTTCAAATATACAAACAAAAGCTTGAAGATAAAATTTTAATTAATATTTTTATATTTTAAAATTTTAAAATTAAATTTATTATTGATATTAAAAATAAAAAAGCCTTATTGTACAATTTAAGTGAGTGGGAAATGTCGAGTGTCTGGAAAGAGAGAGAAAGTTGTACAAGTTTTCAAAGGCCTAATATCTAGGATTAAATCTAAGCTGTTATTTTCTATAAATACTCTCAATTCTTCTGAGTGAAAATCTAATCATACTCTAAGTTGCAATTATCTCATAATTACATATAATTCATTCATTAACTATTAATTATAATAAAGTCCCTAATCAATTCTTAATTAGGTTTTCACCCTAATNGTCATTTTTTGCGTTAAATATTTCGTCTTTTGGTTTGAAGATCGAGTAAAATGTGTGAACATTGGGCAATACCTGGAGAGGCATGCTTAATTTAATCTGTGAAGAATATCTCAGCTGCTACCATTTTAGCTTAGAGAAGCCTGGAGACTTGCTTATGGGAGTGAAGGCAGGCCATCTGCATAATTTTCATATTANGATCATTCTATCATACAATGCCACAATTGAATTACTAGGATATGTAATTACTATTAAACCCCTAATTCAATCTTATGTGTTCGATCTTCGGACTATAACTCTTAATAATCAATTAGAAACTCTTTTCTAATTGTCATTCTACCTTGGCCAAGGACTCCTTGAGTTATATCCCGAAAGATCACATAAGACAATCTCCTTTTAATTACTAAGGGTGATATATTCTATGTTTTACACTCATAAGTCTTCATGCATGTCTAACGATGTCCAACAATACATATCCAAATTACATAATTAGTATATGAATATNAGAAAGTTGACATGTTTATTCTATGCTTTGCGATATGATGAGCATGATGAAATGAATTGTAATTATACATTACATGCATGGGTCCGACATGAGTGTGGGTATAAGTGCATGCTTTTAATCAAACACCATCCATACTGGGTTGATACGTGGGATCAAAAAAGTTGGACCTAGGCCCGCTAAGTTGCACGAGTTTATATTGAAAAATAGGGGCACATTTAGTATGGGGGCAGCTGNGAGCAACTCCAACAATGCTATCAAAAATTGCTATTCAAAATATATTTAAATATTATATTATCTACTTTAGTTAACTATTTTTTTAAATTTACTCCAACATCGTTATTTATTTTAGCTAATCACTTCAATTAACTGTTAATTATTAAAATCTAAAATACTAAGTAGTGCAAATCACAACATGGAATTAAAAAAAAAACATACTAAAACAAAACCTACTAATCATCTTTCAAATGGAATTCAATAGNGGATTTTTGGGAGGTTTTACTCTATTTTAATCAACTCATTGTCTTCCCTATTTTTCTTGGCTTAAATACAGAGTTTCTGAGAGAGACAGTGAGAGAGGGATCATATCGGTGGAGCCTTTTGCGATGAAGTTTCAGTCAATGGAGCCTTTAGTTAGTTTGCTTTTATGCG